CAAAACACATTTGCCATCAAAAACGTTAACTTCGGCTGCACTGAAGCGATAATACCCTCACAGGTGGAGCAAATGTATTCGGCCAACGGTTTACATCCAACGGAAAACGTTTTGCCAGTTCTTTCTAGCCACATTGTTTGGCATAAACAACCTTTAAGTCGAATTAAGGCTACTTAATAAGGAAAAAAGATATTTTATGAAGGTATTTATTTTGGTTGGTCAGTTCAATGGCAGCTATATGGTATAGGAGCCCGATCTAAACAATTTGTCCGGAGATTGTAGCGCTGCCTTGGATAATAATACAATTTCGGTGTCGAAAAACGTTGACCTCCAAGTTTTTTTTTTACGTACGGGAATAAAAAGAAGTGGTTCGTTGCTAAGTAAGGACTATAAGACGGATGACTCATTAAATCGGTATTTTGAGTGCTCAAAAATGCAGTTGTTTCAGTCCATGTGTGAAAGCTCGCATTGTCGTGGTGAAGAGGCTCGCATTGTCCGTCTTCGGCGGTTGGTTTTCTTGATAGACAACTGGTAACCAAATGGTTTTATACCGCTCAAAATTCACTATTCTGCGTTGTTCTCGTGGTATGGTTGCGACATATCTAGTTTTTCCAAAAAAAAACAGGGAACCAATTGTTTTTTTTATTTTATTTTACATTTCTCTCGACCAATCGACACGAGCATTTTTTAAGCGTTTGACAAATTGTGTGGCATTCAACGTGAACAATTTTTTTTTCAGTCAAATATTCATGCAATATTGAATGTCTGCTAGTACTACTAATGTCTGTAGTTGTCTTAATATCACGATAGGTTACATGACGATCTTGCAATGTCAACGACGACCTTCACGAAATTTCACGAATTCATTATAATTTCGATTAACACTACCCTTTGATGAAGCTTCATCGCCAAAAATGTAATTAAGTTTATCGATTTAATTCAATATTTTAAACGAAATCAATATTTTAAGTTACGGTAAACAACTCAAATAGCGCTCGTATGTCAAAACGTTCTGAGTATGTATAACATCAAAAATGTCAAAGTCAATGTCAGTTATGAGTTGCCAAATTGCAACACCAGGGTTACAAAATCCCAAAATATAACAGGTGTATCGGTATGAAAATGAAATTTAAATTCCAATTTTGAATATACAAGTAAAAAAAACATTGGGTGCGTTCGAGCTACGTAGCAGCAGTACAGCTACTGTGTTGCATATTTGCTGATACTCTGTGTCTTCTGGCCCATTCTTATCGTTTTTCGATCAATGCATATTTCAAATTGATAATTTGCTGTAATTCGATGCAAAACTGATTTTCTTTCGGGGCTTTGAAGCAAAATTTCATAAGTGTTTTTTCGGTTTTCCATTTGTCTATCAGTCAACTCATGTGACATCCATTTTCCACACTTTTGGATCTTTCCCATAGCTTTCAAACGGTCCGAAATTGTTTGTTGTGCAACATTTAACATGGCTACCATTTACTTTTGACTCAAAGTATCATCGTCATCCAATATTGCTTGCAGTTCGGCGTCTTCAAACTTTTTTGGTGGTCTTCCACGTTCTCTGTAGCACTTTTATTTAAATGGAAACAAAATATTAATGCTTTCCGGTACAAAATTTGACATATTCAACATAATGAAAAAATATGATGTTTATTCTATGACTGTAAGGTTATTAAATGTCATGCCAACTAAAAAACAAAAAAATTTAGTCTCGTTCAAAACAAATGTTCCCTACCAAACATTTGTATCTTAACGCTCACTTCATACCGGTAAGTCGGTATAAAAGGCTATCTACGTATACAGACAGATGAACGGACAAGCAGCCATACGAAACATGGCTAAATCGACTCAGCTTGACACTCAGATCTTTCATATATTTGTAACCTTTAATTTTTGTTCAAATTTGGTTTTGAGACCATAATTATAGAATACTTAAAAAAAATGTGGATAATAAATTTGATGAAATCAAGATTTTACTTAAAAGGTTGAACAGTTATAAGAACTTTTGTATTCTTCATTTAATTTTATGTGCATTTTAAACCAAATTTAAAATACACAGTTTTCCTGCGAATTATTTAATTAATATACTATTGGCGTAGTCAATAAATATTATAAATAAAATAAAAAAATATTAGTACAACTTTAAGTCGATAAAATTCCATTTAATAATTGAATGAGATGGTCACTTCTTAGTTTTTGACAATTTATGCATTTCATCTACCACAATATAGTTGATTATAGTACAAGTATAACAACGACACTTATCCCAAAACAAATCCTTAAGCCATTTTTGGTAATAAAGTCTACCAACCTCACTTTAATTTAATTAGAGTAGCCAGTAAATTATGTACTAATGTCATTCCTTGTTATAGTAGATAAAAATCTTAAAATCAAGCAAGTACTCAAGACGAACTGCCTACAGCAACAACAATGTGTGTATATTGATGTATTAAATGATTAAACAAATATTTACGATTTTGATTTTAATTGCCGAAATGATTAAACTTGAGAATATGGGGATTTCGTAATTTTTCGCCGAAATTAATTCAAATTAACCATTCTAAACAAACGGATTTTTAACTTTCAATGAATGTCATTATTTCCATTTTATTACGTATAATTTTACGTATTTTTTTACCCTGAACAGGCTATATTAAGTTTGCCACGAAGTTGGTAACAGCCAAAAGGAAACGTTGACCCTACA